TGGAGGCCTATCTGATGTTGGTGCCCAGCATCTTATTGTTTAGAAGGCCTGGGGCATGTGGGAAATTCAAATAGTCACCCTTCACACAGCTTTCTTTGAAACCAAAATGTTCATGACCAGGTCTTGCTGAATCAGGGTATTTTGGTACTCCTCCCTCTTCACCTGGTCCAAAGGGCAGCCTTCAGGCTGGACAGAAAGAACTGGGCAAACTAACAGCTTTGTCCAGGCCTCTATGGGTCTGCCTCTTAGCTCCTTCACAGAGAAGCTAGACCACTTAAAACTGTGATCACTTAAAACAACTAGCCTGCCTGAATTTCCTTACCCACCTTGGGAAAGTAAGCAAGAACCAACCTGTGCATGTGATTCTCCTGGAATGGACCCTGTAGCTTTGAACACCAGAGCTGCTAGAAAAACACCTGCCAGATTTAATCAAATGCCAAACAACCCACTGGGTTCTCTGGAGTCATTTGATTGAAGGCAACAAATACTGACATAGCAGCTTCCATGGGCTAGGCCTAGGTTTGGAAGGGTAGGCCTAGGTTGGGCTCCTAGGGCCTATGGAGGGCAGACCATGGAGCTAACAGGACAGAATGAGAAGGGCTCTGATGTGAATAGTAGTGCACAGAAGAGCTTCCTGTGGGAGATCACTGACATTTCTGTCATTAAACAAAACAATGCTCAGAAATCCCTTAGCACAATGCCTAGCTCCATATATGTGAACTATATTCATTATTATTATGATCTCTCATCAACAGTAAGTCTGCAAGTTGATTCTGAGGACAGGTGGCCTCTGGGACAACCTTTCTCAATTATAATTCTAGGAATAAATTAAGCCCTATCAAAAATGATTCCAGTGACTCTTTCCTCCCAGGGCTGAGCTGATGTAGCATCCTTCTAGAGGCATGGAAAAGAAGGTGATTCAATACCAACAGGAGCTGTCCCAGGATGTCAGGGTTTAATTCTTTCTAGAAAACCAGTTAAGAAGAGCTTATGGGAAATTTATTTTTTATTTAATGTATTTAAACATATCTGTATGATATTCGCAGACTTTGTTCTAAGCCTGCACTGTTGGCATGAAGTGCCACATGAGCCACATGTGTTCACTGAGCCCTTGAAATGTGTCTTATCCAAATTGTGACATGATCTAAGTATAAAAGACACACTAAATTTTGAAGATTTAGTATGATAAAAAAATCTTTCCATATCTCATTTATAATTTTTATATTGAATTATTTATGTATTGAAATGACTAGGATAGATTGGGTTAAATCATGATTGACAAACTTTCTCTATGAAGACCTAGTAGTAAATATTTTCATTTTTGTCAGCCATTCAGTCTCTACTGCTATAGTGCAAAAACAGCTGTAGACAATAGGAAAACAAATGGGCATGCCTGTGTTCCAATAAAACTTTATTTAAAAAAAACAGATGATGGTCCAGATTTGACTACGGGTGGTAAGTTTGCTGATTTCTGGGTTAAATAAAATATATCAAAATTAATTTCACTTGTTTCTTCTTACTTTGTAAAATATGGTTACTAGAAAATGTTAAATTGCATTTTGGCTCACATTATATTTAGAACTAAGCACTTTATAAATATTAACTCTGGAGGATACAAATATTACTCTGGGAGGGGATAATACTATTACTCTGTATAGGGAGGATTGTGAATTCCTGTGCCAGCCTAGAGAGAACATGGAACTGGCTCCCTGACTTAGCTCCCCCACTGAGTGTGGAGCCCACTGAGCACAAGCTAGCTTGTGGCCTCTGCCTGGGAGTACCTGGACCTATCTATGCCCTTTCTCTTTTTAGGTCTCTTTTTCACTACAGGGAAATTCCCTCAAAGGCCACCAGGTGGTGCTGTCAGGCCATATGATATGGTGGTTGGCCCACTGGAAACTTGCCTTTCCTGGATGACTCTGCCACCCATTTGCTGTGTGGCTTAGGACCTCCATTTTCTTACCTGTAGAATGGGGTTAGACCAGACTGGTGAGAATATCAATTTTGGAGGCAAATAGACTTGGATTTGAATTATGACTTCTGTGGTCCCTAGGCACTTTTGGCTTTATGGCTTGCTCCTCCTCTTAAAAAACATTAAAAATTATATTTTATGGCCACTGCTGTGGCTCATGCCTGTGATCCTAGCACTTTAGGAGGCTAACGCAGGAGGATCTCTTGAGCCCAGGAGTTTGAGGCTGCAGTGAGCTATGATGACATCACTGCACACTACCTGGGGTTAAAGAGCAAGAGTCTATCTCAAAAAAAATACATATTTTATAACTTTGTTGGTTATAAAGACAAACATATTATCATATTAAAATTTTTCTTCAACCTAAAATTGAATGTTTTTCCTTCTGGTGCTGAAAGAAATAAACACATTTCAATGGGGCCTTGGCACAATGCTTACTGTGTCTAATGGGTGAGATGCCCTGGGCTCTCTACTTCTCCCCAGCTATGTGACTTTGAGTAAGTTGTTTAATTTCTTTGGGCCTCAGTTTCCTCACCTGTAAAATGGAGATTACAGCAGGCTCCTTCCCTCAGGGCTGTGGTAAGAATCCAGTATGATAGCACACACTGTGCCTTCTCAGCACAGAGCAAATGGCCACTATTATTTGTTATTGTTATATTTATGGATATTTTCCAGCTTTAACCTCTAGGAAACTATGGAAAGGTCTCAGAAGCAGGAACCTCAAAGCAGAAAAGTAAAATGAAGCTTACAGGGTATTGGGTGGGGGAAGTGAAGAGTTTCCTAGAGAATAGAGAGGCAGCAAGAGGGGTTTTGCAAATGAACAACACATCCTCACTCCTGCCATCAGAGAACTCATGTGATGCAGGGATATAGGCTTATACTGCCCAGCCTGAAGCTGAGCAGGTAGGGAGATGGTTGAGAAAGGAGTGAGTGTGTGTGTGCATGTGTGTGTGCAATATATCCTTGTTTCCTTACATTCTTTTAATGTGACTTAATTTCAATAGTTTCCCTGAATCCTGAAGCAAGAAACCACTTGTGCCAGGGTCTTAAGGACATGGTGACCATATTCCTCTTTCAAAATGTGACCTGTGGGTAAATGACATGGGAATTCTGGATCCTTTGGGATCATTCAGGCAGCAGCCATGATGGGGAGACTCAACAGCTGATGCAGGTGTAATTCTTTCTCTCAGCAGCTCTACTTTCCACCTAAGCACCTGCCTGGGCCAGGTGGAAGCAATGATAAGGCTTCTACTTTGTCACCCTTTCCTAGTTTAGAAATTGCCCTCTATATTTGCCCTCTCCAGCCCAAAGGAGAGATAGAATCCAGCATTGCTGAATTAGAGGAGCTCCCTTCATATACCTCAGTACCAACAGGGATAGAGCAAAGGTCACTGGAGGAGAGTTTCTGTGTTTGGGACAGGAAAGGGGTATTGATGAGGCTGGAGTGAAGACATGCAATCATAACTCACTGTTATATCAAATTCAAGCAATCTTCCTAGCTTAGCCTCCATGGAGTTGCTGGAACGATAAGCACACACCACCATGCCTGGCTAATTTTTTTTTTAAGAGATGGAGTCTTGGGGCGGCACCTGTGGTGCCAGCCCCATATGCCGGAGGTGGTGGGTTCAAACCCAGCCCTGGCCAAAAAACAAACAAACAAAGAAATAGGGTCTTGCTATATTGTCCAGGTTTCAACTTTGCTGTTTTATAATAGTCTCAAAAACAGAAATGGAAACTTGGTGTGATTTCTTATATAGCAAAAAGTCATTCTCAATAATTAAATAAGAATAGTATGTATCTAGAGAGTTAAAGCACTCTACCATTTCACAGAGCAAGTGCTGTTAATAAAAATATAGCTTCCACTTACTAGGTGTCAGGTACCCTATGCATTACACCCATCATTTTATTTAAAATTCACCTACAAGGTTGATTATCTTCTTATCTCCATTTTACACATAAGGAAACTGAAAATAAATGATCTGTTCAAGGCCTTACAGCTGGCAGGAAGTACAAAAGATGGCCCCAGAGCAAGCCTATCCCTTGCCACCATGCTACACCTCTTCTCACTAAGGAGGGCTGAGAGAGTGATTTCAAAACATGGGGCTCAAATCACTTGCCTTGGACTCACTTTTGGGAATGCAGGTTCCTGGCATTGGCTCAGATCTCAGGAGACAGACTCTGGAGGGCCGGGGCTGGGAGTCAGCAGGATAACCAGCTCCCAGGGATTCTGGTTCACACCAAGCTTCAGAATCTTTGCACAAAGCCAAAGCTGAAAGGGTGCATATGACCTGGGAACCCCTCTCCCCCCACTGGAGTCCCTTGCCTAGACCAGGGCAGGTAACCCACAGGGACAGGAGGATATTTGCAGTTCCATTAGATTGTGGACTGTCAGAACGAGCCATGCCCCATGCCCTCTTGCCTGGCAGAGTTTGCCCAGAATGAGAGCTGGCAGGGGCCAGAGCTCCAGTAATCTACTCCAGGGCAGAAATAGAGAGATGTCTTGTCAGGGAGGAAGCTGTAGGGTGTCAGGTCCAAGTCAGAGCCATTGGCAGGCTAATTTAGTGTCTGGTTCACCTTCTCCTTCCTCCCCATCCACCACAGAGTCCCAAGCCCAGCGGCCAGAGCTCCTGGCACAGATTTGCCAGCTGGTGGAGCTTAAACACTTTGGAGCAGAAGGACCATTATCTCCCTCCATAATAAGCTCATTTGTGAATTGCCTGCTTGACCATTTTACACCTTGGAAACTGGAAAACTTCCTGGGATAGTGAGTTCTGCCTCAAAAGAAGTGACAGATGTCTTAGCAGCCTTGACATCTTTCTCCTCCCCCCAGACAATTCCAACAAGACCTCTGAGGTTAATTGGCCATTTGGGGAAGATGTTTTCCTTGCTTAATCAGGACCCTTTTGATTTTATTCTTTCAATCAGCTGTTATGTAATTTCAAGTATCAGACTTTATGGTCTCTTTCTCCTACATCAAAAGTCACATCATCCCAATATGTTAAAAGAAATAAGCGAGGAGTGGAACTGTGCATATGGCATGCTACATTTTGTATTTTTTAAGGTTACATATGGTGCTCATTTATGTGCAGACTGTGGAAGAAAACAAAAGCTGGGAAGAGGGGCTGCCCCCGAGACAGGAAATTCATGGATGAGGTCAGGGCACAGCTTTCCTTTTCACTGCCTGCTCTCCGGGGCTGCTCTCACACACAGCCCTGCTCATGTACTACTTGAACAAAGAAATGGCATTGGAGAAACAAAGCAAAGCAAACAAAAACGGCACCTCGGATACAGGTAAATGGTGCCTCCTTGCTGGATTCTTATGGGCCTCTTTGGGTATAGAAAGATAACAAAATCCTTGAGTCCCAGACCAGGATTCCCAAAGACTTCCAGTACTGACCCTGGTGACAGACACGTGTACAATGTGCTTAATGCTGCAATGAGGGTAGGGAGCACGTTGGGGGCCAGAGGCACTTGGATAACACTCTGAGATAGAGCGGTCACAGTCACGGGATGGGTCCAAAGCCCCAAGGGAGGGAGTGGGGTGCACAGGGTGGAGGACAACCTGTGACCTGCGGGAGCTCACAGGGCTGGGCAGAGACCGGCAGACAGCATGGTTGGTGGTTTATGCCAGATAAGCGAGACCTTCATGTTGTCTAAAGTCTAAGCTCTTTTGGATGGTGATGGGAACCCCTGAAGGATTTATAGGCATGGGGGTCAGAGCAGCGTTTCTGAGGATGGCGCTGGTGGTCACTGGGCTGGCTGAGTTGGAGGAGGATGATTCAGAGGCAGGGAGACCAGGAGGGAGAGGCCTTCATGCTTCATACCTGTGAGGCGTAGTGGTGGCTTGACCTCAGAGAGGAGGGGTCAGATTAAACAGTTAATTATCCAAATCATGGGGTGCAGCTGAGATTTGGCATTTCTGGGGTCTTGGCCTTCCTGGTCATGGCCCAGGATGAGGTCTGGAAACTGGCCTACATCTGCAGCCTCTCGGGTAGAGCTGAGCAGGCCCCCGCAGCAGCAGGTGGGGCTCTAACTCAGAGCATGAAGATCACCCTTTTGGACTAGGAAGCTCAGGTGTGAACCCAACAGGGATAATAAACAACTCTCCTTCCAATTTGGCTCCAGTCAGAATAAATTCAGGTTGAAAAATGAAAGCAGTTGGACCAGTCTTGTTTCTGAAGTGCAGGGAGCAGGTCATACCTGTTAGAGCCATTTTATTTAGAGGCAAGAAATGTTTAATCAAATAGCACCCTTGTATCTAGGTGCCTTTGGCCTTTGTTTTCTTCCTTGGAGCAACAGATTTTTTGCTGTTGGTGAAGGTCCTTGACCTTGAAGACTGTAGTCTAAATTCAACCGGAAAGTGGTCGCTGACGTCCAGGGCCTGTGAGGAGAAACAGAAGACAGGTTTAGGAATTAGGAGAGACCAAGGAGATGTTTTCATTTCAGTAATGAACAAATTCAGGAACAGGAAGGGAAGATGGTGCCAGAAGTCATCCAATAGAGCTCACACCAGCCCAATCAGAACTTTTGGCAGGTCCTCAAATCACAGAATCATGGACATTGAGACTCAAGGTCTAATGGCCCAATATTGCATTCTCAGGGGTGACCTCAAGGGGTGACGCCAACCCATCTTTCCAGGATGGTGGCACAGAGGGACAGGATGGCAGCCTTACCTCCTCTTCAGTCAGTTTGTAAGCTTTCTGGAAATTAAAGATGCTGCTGGACTTGGGAACAACAGAACTGATGATCTCTTGCCCTCTAAGGACGATCCTGGAACAAGGGGAAGGAAGGCAGTTGTGTTAATCTACCTTGTTGATTTCTGAGATCAAGCCAAGGTTGGTTTGAGCATCTAGGCCCTTTCATGTGGTTCTCAAAGTCCAGACCTGGTTTTAGCGAGTGATGCTAGAGAACAGAGCCCACAAGTGTGGAATAGGATCATTTCCTGCCATGGCTCTGTGGACACCAGGACAGTGTGGGCAGTTGTCCCTGGTGGCACAAGAGAAGATTTAATATGACACATGAAAACTGCACCACACAGCAATAATTTGAATATTGAGTAAGTTGTCTCTTTTCAATTATCTTTCATGTTTCCTGATTCAATTATGGAGAAATCTCAGGTAGGTGCTCACTTGTCTCTAATATTTCCCTAAACCCCCATTTTTACAAAGAGAGAGCAAGCTGTAATCTCTTGTGCAAGCAAGAATTTAACACTGTGGAGTTTACATTGGGCTTGTTTCTTTGATTTAAAAAAAATTTTTTTTTGAGACAGAGTCTCACTATGTCACCCTCAGTAGAGTGCTGTGGCATCACAGTTCACAGCAACCTATAACTCTTGGGCTTAAGAGATTCTCTTGCCTCACCTTCCCTAGTAGCTGGGACTACAGGTGCCCACCACAATGCCCAGCTATTTTTCTGTTGCAGTTGTCATTGTTGCTTAGGCTAGGCCAGGCTGGGTTCAAACCTACCAACCGTGGTGTATATGGCTGGCACCATAACCACTGTGAGACGGGCACCGAGCCTGATTCAAAATTTTTAAATTTATTAAAATTTTTAAAAGTTCCATTTATGACAAATGATGCTGTATTCTTACATTGATGTTGCACAACTTCCTTTAAAACTTGTTTTATTGGCTCTCGGCACCTGTGGCTCAAGTGGCTAAGGCGCCAGCCACGTACACCCAAGGTGGCAGGTTCGAATCCAGCCTGGGTCCGCCAAACAACAATGATGGCTGCAATCAAAAACACAGCTGGGCATTGTGGCGGGTGCCTATGGTCCCAGCTACTTGGGAGGCTGAGGCAGAAGACTCGCTTGAGCCCAGGAGTTGGAGGTTGCTGT